TTTTCCTATTTGATTGCTAGTGAGGTTAAACATTTTTTCCAATGTTTACTATCTTGTGATGACTTATTTTGCGATTTCTCTGCCTTTCCTTTTACTTATAAGTGAGCATCTCTATCGGGGCACACTCAGGCATATTCACCTTTAGAGAGAAAACATCAGAAAGTCCTGGCAGTTTGACATTACCACTTAGTATAATATGCGGAAGAGACAAGGAAAATGTATTTCCATCAATCTTGGCGTTGTTGGCTTCTTGATTTTCTGAAAAATAAGAGAGACAAAGTAGATTTTTTGACCTTTGAATTCTTCAATTACCATGCCAAGCTTTCAAGACAATTAAGACATAAATATTCTTTATATAGGATCTTAGCCTTCTTAATCCCCGATTGAGACCTTGTGCTGCAGGAGCGTGGTGGTGTGCAAAAGCATTGTCTCAGAGGATGCAGACGTGTTAATAAAAGGTGGGTTGTCAAATGTGTTTAGAAAGAAAATAAGGAAGAAAGAGCATAATTTGCCTTTCTTAGGTGTCCTGACGATATCACAGTGGGCATCGAACGCCCCTTGAGCTCCCGCTTGGTTTCCGCTCTGTCTGAGCCTTGGTGCTGCCATCTGCTGGCCGTCCTCGGCACTGCGTGTGAACGGCTCCTGAGAAAGGACCAGTCTTAAGAGTATGGGGCTGAAATGGTTGAGGGTTTAAGCCTGTTTTATATTTCTGGATAATATGTAATATGAGCATGTGTTGTTTCATATGGCCTGTCAATTCATTCAAAATTGAACACATGCTCCGAAACAATCCAGATTTACAGTTTGATGCTCCCATATTGGCTCTCATTTGATGGTGATGGAGATGGTGATGGTGATGGTGGTGGTGACGATAAGGAAACGCTAGAGATCTTGTTGATGTTATATAAAGGGTCCTTGAACAGCAGAGTTGCTATAGGATTTTAGAGAATGCGTGAGTAACTGGAACTCCTTAGGGAAGCCATCGCATTGAAGGTTGCAGACTTTCTTTGTTTCGTCTGTTCAAAGGGAAATCAGGGGCGGGGAATAGGACATTCAAACCAGGCTGGGTAGGTCTATTCTGCTTTAGAAAAATGAGATTTTCAAAACTCGAATTCATAAGGTGAATAATTTAAAAGTAGCACTTGATTAATTGCATTACAAAGGAATTCTTCTGTTTGGGAAAATATGCTTCCTATTTCTTTCAAATATATTTTATTCACTTAAAATACTCGGGTTAACACATTATTCATAACATCATTCATTTTGGGGGGTGCAGAAACACCAGTACCTTAAAACTACTAAATCTTGAAATGCAAGATATCTTATTCATCTTTATTATGCTTAGATGCAAATTTTGCATGGGTTACATGGTAAGAGTAAAAGAAGACTCATCTACAAGTCAGTTTCGAACTGAAATATGACTCATCAAATAACTTTTAGTATTTGATGAAAGACGCCCTTTTTTCTTTTCCTTTTGAGTCAGAACATTTTCTTTCACAATCAATTTCCTGCTGGGAGAGCATGAGGACTGATCTATGGGAGCAGAACAAACCCATTTAGGCCACTTCAAAAATGCAGTGCACTTGGCAAGGCCGGACTGAGACCCAGGTAATGACTCACAGTTTAGGAAGATATGCCTGCTGGTCGATCCAAGTTCTCAACTTAGCAGTTTATTTAGTCTAAGTTTGTGTTCTCATTTGGAGCTCTCAGTCCATCAAATGGCTATTAGGAAAGAAAACAGAACAAAATCAAAGTGAGTTTTGTGAACCAAACCTCAATGCAGGTCTGGGCTGTCACTCTCCACCCCACATTGCCATGTTTATGTGTTTTTAATGAGTGAGGAGCCTTTCTCATAGGGGCCAGCCCCAGACAGCTTGGATGGGACACTGAGACACAGGATGTTCAGCACAGACACCCTCCATCTGCTCAGTGCTGAGGAGGCATTTGTGAGCTTGCTGCTGTGGTTTGGAAGAACCCCAAAGCTAGACACCCTGTTGGTAGATGGTTGTGTGATGTGTCCAGTTGGGTGAGGCTTGGGACTAAGGTGATCCAGGTGGCCTTTAAGAGATTTGCAGTTGAGGAATATTTTTGGCCGATGAGTAAGTCTCAGGAATCCTGCCTGCTTTGGGCAGCAAAAAGAACATTCCCCGCCTTCCAGGTCAGGCGGATGGCTCACACCTGTAATCCCAGCACTTTGGGAGGCCGAGATGGGAGGCCAATCATGAGGTCAGGAGATGGAGACCATCCTGGCTAAAACGGTGAAACTCCATCTCTACTAAAAATACAAAATAGTAGCCGGACGTGGTGACACGTGCCTGTAGTCGCAGCTACTCGGGAGGCTGAGGTGGGAGAACCTGGGAGGCAGAGGTTGCAGTGAGCCGAGATTGTGCCACTGCACTCCAGTCTGGGTGACAGAGCAAGACTCCATCTAAAAAAACAAAAACAAAACAAAACATTCCCCACCTTCTGGAGATGAGGCATCAACACTGCAAACAGAAGGGAAAACTGGCAACTTCAGAAGGCATCATTTTAGCAATTTGAAGGTAAATGAATATGTACGTATTTCCAGATGCAAAATGTGTTTGGATGATTTGAGAACCGTTTTGCATCTCCACTGCTTTTGAAGCTCCCACAGGTACAAAATGCAGCCGTTTTCCTAAACACCTGCTTAGTTTCTTGATCTAGTTGGATAAAAGAGCAGAACTATGAAAAATTACTCCGACAAGCATTCCTTTCATCTTCAGGCAGTAAACCATCTTTAAAATCTGATGAAAATGCTTTGAAACAAATAAAATAGCTGGATGTGGGATTCCCTGGAGAGAAACTAGGCATTTTCCCATATTCCTCAGATGTTTTGGAGTCAGAACACTGTGGTTTTAAAATCTAAAGCCTAAATTCTTGACTTCTCTGCCCTCCTGTAACTATTGTTTTAATGTATGCAATTTATTTCTAATAATTAATCGTTTCTCGTTTCCCCTCCTAGGTTCTGTGGTTTTTTGGGGGTCCAGGCACAGGTTGCTCTGGGGCTCCCAGGCATCTCTGCAATCAAGGAAATCGGTGCCAATTGTGAGCGGACAGGGTGGAGCGGGACAGGGACCAGGTGAAAGGGAGGGAGGGCTGGGGATGTTGATACAGGAGCTAGAAAGAAATTATTTTAGGTAGGTAGTGACGGTAAAGGAGTCCTTGGCAAGGTTTCCTTTTTAACAAGAAGCAGTTCCCAGATCATTTCTTTTCTTTTTTTTTTTTTTTTTTTTTTTGAGACAGAGTCTCGCTCTGTCGCCCAGGCTGGAGTGCAGTGGCCGGATCTCAGCTCACTGCAAGCTCCGCCTCCCGGGTTCACACCATTCTCCTGCCTCAGCCTCCCGAGTAACTGGGACTACAGGTGCCCGCCACCTTGCCCAGCTAGTTTTTTGTATTTTTTTAGTAGAGACGGGGTTTCACCGTGTTAGCCAGGATGGTCTCGATCTCCTGACCTCGTGATCCGCCCATCTCGGCCTCCCAAAGTGCTGGGATTACAGGCTTGAGCCACCTCGCCCGGCCCATTTCTTTTCTAACAAACAAAGAACAGCCTGAAAAATAGAGCTGAAAACATAAATAAGCAAGCTGGAAGTTTTCGTGGGTGAATGCCGGCAGCTGTGCCAACAGGAAAGGGCTACCTGAGGGCCAGGCATGTTCAGCATGGAGGCGCCATCTTCCCTTCCTTTGTCACCACTTGTACAGTAACGAGGCAGGCAACATGGCGCCAGCCAGGTAGAGAACCCACCTACATAATAAAAGATTGGGGTGGCAGGCCAGGAGCGGTGGCTCACACCTGTAATGCCAGCACTTTGGGAGGCCAAGGCAGGTGGATCACTTGAGATCAGGAGTTCAAGACTGGCCTGGCCAACATGGTGAAACCCCATCTCTACTAAAAGTGCAAAAATTGGTCAGGTGTGGTGGTGGGCACCTGTAATCCCAGCTACTTGGGAGGCTGAGGCAGGAGAATCGCTTGATCCCGAGAGGCGGAGGCTGCAGTGAGCTGAGATGGCACCCACTGCCCTCCAGCCTGGGTGACAGAGACTCTGTGTCTCAAAGAAAATAAAATAAAATAAAAAATAAGACTGGGGCGGCCAGCTTCTTCATGAGCGATGCAAATGGCACACATAGTCCTAACCAGTTCTTTGCACACCATGCATATGGTACACCTGAGCGACCAATGTTTTGTGCTTTATGTACATCAGACAGTGCTGCCTCAAGTTCATTTAAAAAACCTCCTGCACTTCACCTCGGACCAGAAGACCAGCTTAGGACCCTCCCTCTCTTCAGGAGAGTGCTTTTCTCTTCCTTTTGCCTATTACACTTTCGCTCTTAACCTCACTCCTTATGTGTCCACGTCCTTGATTTCCTTGGCATGAGGCAGTGAACCTCAGATATTACCCCAGATGAACAACGCCACTTTCATGTCTCAGTTTGTTTGGGTTGCTGGAAGAACATATCAGGCTGGGTGGCTGATAAACAACAGGTATTTATTGAGGCTGCAAGTCTGAGGCCAGGGTGCCAGTGCAGTGTGGCCAGGTTCTGGGGAGGGCCCTATTCCGGGTTGCAGAGGGCCATCTTCTTGCTCTGACCTCAGTGGTGGAAAGGCTCCAAGGGTTCCACCCTCATGATCTCATTACCTCCCAAAGGCGCCGCCTCCAAATACTTTCGTCTTGGGGGTTAGGGTTTCAACATAGGAAATCTGGGGTTACAACGTTCAGTCGAGTAAAGGGAACTGGTAGTGGATGGAAACAACACCCTCACCCTCCGGGGAGCGTATCCACTGGTCTCCATGCCTTCCTCCTTCCCCTCCTGCCTCTGCGTGACTTCCCTTCTCTTTCAGCCATCCCAGATGTTAATTTAAACCTGATCTCTCCCATGTAGTTTAGTCTTTGAACACGCTATTCTCCACCTGTTTGCTGGATTACAGCTTTTGTGGCGGGGGAGGGATTCATGGTGAAATGTGAAGGGAGGTGGTCTCCGTTTCAATCTAAACAGTTGTGGGCATTGTGGCCTGACTGTGGAACAACAAAGGTGAGAGCACTAGCTGAAGAAGGAGCAGGAGTCCTAAGCCTGGTGTGATAAGGATGTCTTGGGTTGAGGGTCTTAACCTGGCTCACAGCAGAGTCTCCTGGGAGCTTTGAAAATGCCTGTGCAGGGGCCCAGCCCCAGGGGTGCTACTGCAGTTGGTCTGGATGTAGCTAGTCTGGGTGCTGCTGGTCTGGGTGCAGCTGGTCTGGGTGCAGCAGCTGATCTGGGCACAGCTGGTCTGGGTACAGCAGCTGGTCTGTGCACTGCTGGTCTGGGCACTGCTGGTCTGTTTGCCGCTGGTCTGGGTGCCACTGGTCTGGGTGCCGCTGGTCTGGTTATAGCAGCTGGTCTGGCTACAGCAGTTGATCTAGGTGCAGGAGCTGGTCTGGGCACTGCTGGTCTGGGTGGTGCTGGTCTGGGTGCTGCTGGTCTGGGCTGGTGCTGGTCTGGGTGGTGCTGGTCTGGGTGCTGCTGGTCTGGGCACTGCTGGTCTCGGTGCTGCTGGTCTGGTGGGTGGCTCTGGTCTGGGTGGTTCTGGTCTGGGCACTGCTGGTCTGGGTGCTGCTGGTCTGGGTGGTGCTGGTCTGGTGGGTGCTGCTGGTCTGGGTGCTGCTGGTCTGGGTGCTGCTGGTCTGGGTGGTGCTGGTCTGGGCACTGCTGGTCTGGGTGCTGCTGGTCTGGGTGGTGCTGGTGTGGGTGGTGCTGGTCTGGGTGGTTCTGGTCTGGGCCCTGCTGGTCTGGGTGGTGCTGGTCTGGGTGGTTCTGGTCTGGGCACTGCTGGTCTGGATGGTGCTGGTCTGGGTGGCTCTGGTCTGGGTGGTTCTGGTCTGGGTGCTGCTGGTCTGGGTGGCTCTGGTCTGGGTGGTTCTGGTCTGGGCACTGCTGGTCTGGGCACTGCTGGTCTGGGTGGGGGTGGTTCTGGTCTGGGCACTGCTGGTCTGGATGGTGCTGGTCTGCTGGATGGTGCTGGTCTGGGTGGCTCTGGTTGGTCTGGGTGGTGCTGGTCTGGATGGTGCTGGTCTGGGTGGTTCTGGTCTGGGTGGTGCTGGTCTGGGTGGTGCTGGTCTGGGTGGTGCTGGTCTGGGTGGTGCTGGTCTGGGTGGTGCTGGTCTGGGTGCTGCTGGTCTGGATGGTGCTGGTCTAGGTGGTGCTGGTCTGGGTACTGCTGGTCTGGGTGCTGCTGGTCTGGGTACTGCTGGTCTGGGTGGTGCTGGTCTGGGTGGTGCTGGTCTGGGTGGTTCTGGTCTGGGCACTGCTGGTCTGGATGGTGCTGGTCTGGGTGGCTCTGGTCTGGGTGGTGCTGGTCTGGGTGGTGCTGGTCTGGGTGGTGCTGGTCTGGATGGTGCTGGTCTGGGTGCTGCTGGTCTGGGTGGTGCTGGTCTGGGTGCTGCTGGTCTGGGTGGTGCTGGTCTGGGTGCTGCTGGTCTGGGTGGTGCTGGTCTGGGTGCTGCTGGTCTGGGTGGCTCTGGTCCGGGTGCTGCTGGAATGTTTAAGCTTTGCAGGCGGTTCTCATGTATAGCGAGTCTGAGAACCTGGCCTCAGTGTGGAAAGGGCAGAGGTGATCCTGGGGTCACCATGGCGTCTGTCCTTGGGGCTGGCTCTTGGCTCTGCCTTGGGTGGGCTCCCATGAGTCCTGTGGAGAGCCAGGCTCTTGGGAGGTGGAGGCAGCAGGTGGACACAGTACCACCAGAGAGCCTCGAGGAGCTGCGTTGTCTAGGGAGCCATTTGATCCCCACCCTGTGCTAGGTAGTGAGCGAGGTCTGAGAACACAACAGCCAGTGAGATGCAGGTCCGAGTGCCCTGCAGAAGGATGCGTTAAGCTGACCAGCTGCCCTTGGCCTAGTGGAAGCTCTGACTCTGCTGGCCACTGGTTGGTGCAGGAGTGGCCACACAAGTCGGGGAGCTGGGTGCACCCCAGAGCTGGCAGAGCAGTGGCAGCACCAGCCAGAGGCCTCAGGAGCTCAGCTTTATGGGGACATTTTCCTTTAAGGGCAGGGCATAGGAAGAAGTGGCTGGATGGTGTAATACTAAGTTAGATTATGAAATATCCTGTGATTTGATGCTTTTTGTGGGGACACGGGACAGAGGTACTACAAACACCTCTGCACTTTCCTGCCTCATCAGTTCTCCTGGGGGCAAGCTCACGGGGCTTAGGGGGCTAAGGAGACTTCTAAGGTATTGGGTGGGGCTTGGCTGTGGTGAAGGGTGCTAGGAGCTGATGCAAACGATGACGCCCTCCCTCAGGCAAGTCTGCCGGCCACCAGGCCCTGTTTCCTCTTCTCCAGTGCTGCCTCATTTGCTTTCCTATTCAGCAGTCTCAGATGTTAATTTTAACCTGATGTCATGGATTGGGTGTGTTTTAAGGAGACTCTTTTTTTTTTTTTTTTGAGATAGAGTTTTGCTCTTGTTGCCCAGGCTGGAGTGAAACGGCACAATCTCAGCTCACAGCAACCTCCACCTCCTGGGTTCAAGTGATTCTCCTGCCTCAGCCTCCTGAGTAGCTGGAATTACAGGCACCCGCCACCATACCCAGCTATTTATTTTTGTATTTTTAGTAGAGATGGGGTTTTACCATGTTGGCCAGGCTGGTCTTGAACTCCTGACCTCAAGTGATCCACCTGCCTCGGACTCCCAAAGTGCTGGGATTACAGGCGTGAGCCACCTCACCCGGCCAAAGACATGTTTTATCCAGGGCACCCACGTGATTTGTTCCCATGCTTTGACAGTAGAGAAACAGCCAGTGGGTCTGTCCATGGTTCCTGGGTATTTTTGAAGAGTTCTTGACTTGAGATTGTCTGGCCTGCCCTCCCCTGGAGAAGGACCAGAGAGACCTAAGCTTCTGGGTTTTGCAAAGTCTCCAGTATTGAATCCAATCCCCTATTCCCTGGGCCTCACTTGAGAACCAGTGCTGTCATTCATAACAAACCTGAGTGCAAGTGTGTGCTTGGTAAGCTTCTCTTGCAGTGTGGGTTGTAGTGTGGCCGAGAAAGGAGCTATCAGTTGGGAAAACCAGGGTTCGCAGAGAGGAAGGCCAGTGTGCTGGGTGGGATGGAATTCCAAATGAGCAGGAGAAAAGCACTCCACATTCCCAGGAGTGCACCTGAGCCCAGCCGGGCAACTGAGCTAGAAAAGGTCATTCACGGGGGCAGGTGATTGGTCAGGATCAAAGTCAATCATCCTGTGCCCTCCTTCCCACGTTTCGGCTTTGCGGGGTGGCCACAGAGAACCCCCAAGTCCCTCGGATCATGGGAACTTTCTCTCACAAATCACAATCAAAGTAGATGTTTTGTACTCTTTTTTTCTTCCTCTGAGGTTCATTCCATGAAATATTTGTTTTTAGGAGGAGTTTGGGTTTAGGATTGTAAACTGCATTGTTTCTTTAAACCTGTTTTTCAATGGACCACATTGTAAACCTGGCGGAGTTTTCATATTAAAATGATGTGAAGGGTTTCTGCACCCATCTGACTTAGTTGAGTCTGTTGTGTTTTCGACTGTCACGCTGCACAGTGACTGAAAAAATATTCAAACTAGGCACGGCCTCTCAGGGAATTTAACGTGCGCTTATGCCTGGGGACGTGCAACTGGAGTACAGAAACGCTCTTGAGGCATCTCAGCCTCCCTGAGGAAACTGGGTGGCCAAACCCAGACCGTGCAGAGGTGGTAGGAGTCAGGCCCATTTTCGAATCTGTGTGACAGCAAGTAAGAGATGTGACCCCAAAATAGAGGTGGATGACTGTGGGTTCATGCAGCCGGCTAGTGCCATGTTAGAGAAAACAATTCTAGAAGTCTAGTGGTCAACTGATTGTCTGGGCCTTATAATGCATGTCACCAAAGGAACGTCGCGAGAACTGCCGGGGGCCTCCCAGCCGCCCTCTGAGGCCCAGTCACTAGCTAACAGCAGCCATGACTTACTTGTCAAAACTACCCATATTTTCCTTCTGGGCAGTGTGGCTATCGAGAGAGCTTGGCAAAAGGACTCAGAGGCCTGGCATCTAATCCCTGCTTCACTGCTGTGGGAACAACTGAAGACCAGGCAAGGGACAGTGAGCAGAGGGAAGGGACAGTGAGCACTGGGCTCATTGGAGAGTTACAGGAAGTGAGGCCACTGTCTCTAGCAGCCACTCAGGAAGCCAGACCATAAGCCCTCTAACCATCGGCCCCAAATGGCCTGGGCGTGGTTCATAACTGCCGCTTCCCTAATTGTTGTCCCCACTAACAATTCAGGAACTTCTCCAGCAAGGGGGCCGCTCCCTCACCTGTGTTTGGCAGAGTCCCCAGTGTGGGCAGGGGATGGGTAGGCCTCACTGTGAGAAAAGAAGGCTCCTGCCTGACCACCAGGCCGGTTCCCTGGCTGGAGGCTGCTGTCGTGGGAACCTGGAGGTGGCTCAGAAGCAGCATGTCCCAGTGATACAGACGAGCTGGGCTCCCGGCAAACCCCCACCCTTAAGCCTGGAACCGTGGCCCTAAGTGAAAACAGCTGACTCATTTTTCCACCTGAACGTTAACTTTTTGGCCCGCCCCGCCCCATCCTCTGCCCATAAAAGACTTCAGCTGGCAGAGCAACACAAGCAGCTGAGCATCAGAGACTGTGGCTAGACGTGGCTAACTTCAGACAGTGTGGCTTCAGAGAGGGCCGGGCTTCTGGGAGAGGTCACCTTCCCACCCCCTTTCCAGCCTTCTTTTCTGCTGAGAGCCACCCACCACTTAGTAAAGTCTTCCGCATTCATCACCTTTCAAACAGCTCGCGTGGCCTGTTCCTTCCTGGACACTGGACAAGAGCCCGGGTGTCGAGAAGGCAGGGGCTGCCACCCTGCCCCTCCACTGAGCTGGTTGGTACTTGGCTGTTCCTGGACCGCAGAGCTGAAAGAGCACTGGTTGTGACATGCTTGGACGCTGCTGCGGGGCCCTCACAGAGCCAGCTCCTGCCACAGAGGAGCCACGGGCAGCTTCCAGCGCTTGTTTGCTGCAGTTCCCTGACTCACTCACTTGCATGCTCCCTCCTGCAAGGAGTGGCCAGCGTCTTCGGCGGGGGCGGGGCGGTGCCAAACCAGCCACTCCAGTTGTCATCCTCAAAGGGGTCAAGAGATCATGTCCTGTCTCACCAGGAGATTGGCTGGGGGCACATTTGGCTTTCTCTGGTTGGTCCTGAGTTGCAAGTGGGGACAACAATTAGGGAAGCGGCAGTTATGAAACAAGCCCGGGCCATTTGGGGCTGATGGTTACAAGGGTTATGGTTTGGCTTCCTGAGTGGCTGCTAGAGACAGTGGCCTCACTTCCCGTACCTCTCCAAAGAGCCCAAGAGCCGGCCTGTAAATAGCAGGGCTGGTTGCTGTGGAGACAGTGCTCTCGCTTCTCACAAGCCTGGCTTGTAGATAGCAGGCCGGCTCCTGGGCTGGTTGCTGTAGAGACAGTGGCCTCACTTCCCGTACCTGTCCAATGAGCCCAGGAGCTAGCCTGTAAATAGCAGGGCTGGTTGCTGTAGAGACAGTGGCCTCACTTCCCACAGCCTGGCTTGTAGATAGCGGGCCGGCTCCCAGGCTGGTTCCTGTGGAGACAGTGCTCTCGCTTCTCACAAGCCTGGCTTGTAGAAAGTGGGCTGGCTCCTGGGTTGGTTGCTGCAGAGACAGTGGCCTCACTTCCTGTACCCCTGACTTGTAGACAGTGGGCCAGCTCCCGGACTGGTGGCTGCAGCTTGTATCTCCAGGCTCTGTGTCCACAGCTGGTCTGGCTGTTGTCCATTTAGATATCCAGGTTCTCGCCACTGCCGATAGCTTCTCTGGCCTCCCATAAGCCACATGACCGATGTGGCCCTCCGTTCTTTCATGTGTAAAAATCAAGGGTGCAATGTGCATGATCTCTGAGATATCTGCCAGTTCTAAAACTCTATAAAATAATTAAGTTGCAAGAAATTACAACTTTATGTCTACTTAGGTCCCGGGTGGGCCCCTGCACAGACGCAAATGTTTGCAGGCTCTACTTGCTCTGTTCGGAGCCTCCTTCAATTAATTGCAGACCGTCAGGGTCTGGGAAAACAGCTTGGACAGACTCTTACCTCCCACAGAAGGATGTTGAGGTCCAGAGAGGGGAGGGGGTTGCAGGTCCACCCTGTGCCATGTGACTCCCAGCCCAGGACGAGCAGAGCCAGCACTTCCCAGACTGGAAGCTGTGTGCGAAGTCCAGGCCGGGCTCCTGTCTGTGCAGAACCTCCTACAGCGGGGCCTGTGAATCTGCATTTCTTGGTGCCCAGCCGATGCTGGTGCTGCTGGTGTCCCACCGGGCTTCGAGGAGCCAGAGACTGGTTGCTCTGGCAGGTCCTCACCCTGTGCCCCCATGGAGGCTGGTGCCAGGCAGTACGGGGCTCTGCAGCCAAGGGGAGTACACCCCTCTGCGTGGAGGTAAACACTGTGAGGAAACAGACCCAGTTACTGAACTTGAAACCACTGGGGACTAATTAAGCGCCTGTGTGAAGATTGTAAGCGCAGTGGGAGTTAGAAGGACGCGGTCTGTGAGCTCATTGTCCCGCGGGAAGCACTGCCTGGCTGTGCTTGTGCCTCTGGACACCTGACTTTATCACAGACACTCTGACCTCTCAGAAAGAAACACGAGTGACACGTCACATGCCTGTGCTCACAGCACACACCGTGTCTCTGCACCATGAGGGCCGGTTCCAGGTGGAGTGGCGACTTTCCCACAGCCCTCCCGCTCCCATGTCCCCTGCATCCCTGTCCCCATCTTCAGGCACTGGGAGTGAGCCACACCTGCCTGCCTCTCTGTGGCACCAACACAGGCTTTTCAGCCCTCTTTTCTTCCCCAGTCCCCTAAACTGCTTCCGCCACGATCCCCCTTACTTTGGGGCCTTCTGACCCAGTGGCTGGCCGCTGGATCCCCAGGGGCCGATGAGGCTGATGTCCCGTGGTGAGCTGAGGCGCGCTGCAGCTTGGCTGTGCTTCCATTCTGAGGTCCAGCACAGACCCTGCGGCACTGGTGGTCGGTTGGATGTCACAGCCCCTGGGGTCTGCCCCACCTGCTCAGCAAATGGACCCAAAAGAGCTGCCCTCCTAAGTGAGGGAACACATATAAAACCATGCAGACAGGAACACCTAAAACACACACAGACACGCATGTGAACACATAAAACAGGAACACATAAAACACATGTGAAGACAAAACACAGGAACACACAAAACAGGAACGCAAAACAGACACGTGTGAACACAACCGACAGGAACACACAAAACAAAACAGACACACATGTGAACACATAAAACACAGGAACACAAAACAGACACACATGTGAACACATAAGACAAACGTAAAACAGACACACATATGGACACAAAACAGGAACACACAAAACACAGGAACACAAAACAGACATGTGAACACATAAAACAGGAACATATAAAACAGACAGGAACACATAAAACACACAGAGGAACGGATATGAGCACACAGAAACAGATGTGAACACATATAGACAGGAATGGATAGATATGAACACACACAGAGGAACGGATATGAACACATGCAGACAGGAACATACAAAGCAGACAGACAGGAACGGATATGTGCACACAGAAACAGATGTGAACACATATAGACAGGAACACATAAAACATATACAGATAAAACAAAATAAAGCAAACAACCCCAGCAGGGGCCATAAAAAGGAAACCAACAAGGAGTCGGGATGGCTGAAACCTATCCCCTGTGGAGGTGAGAGTGGGGCTAGGTCCGAAACAAGCTCGGGATGCCCTGTCAGTGACGGCACAGGACGGCAGAGTGTTCACATTTCAATAGCTCCACACATGCTAAAGACATTTCCCAGCTAGCATGGTGGTGAGTGCCCCGAAATCCCAGCTACTCGGGGGGCCAAGGCAGGAGGATTGCTTGAGTCTAGGCGTTTGAGACCCTCACCTCTAAAAACAACGACAAAAAGATGTTTCCCAGGAAAAAAAGGACAAAGCATTTAAAAATACATGAAAAAGACGAGCACATTAGAAGCTCACTGTGGCAGCCCCATGTCCAACAAGTGGGAACTCCCAAAAGTGAGGCTGGAGCCCACGGCGGGTGGAAGGACCTGAGTTTCCAAATCGAAGGGACCCTGGCATGTGTTGAATTGTGTCCCCTGCTCCACATTCATATGCTGAAATGCTAGCCCCAGGGTGACCTTATTAGGAAACAGGGTTTTGTAGATGTGATTAGTTAGGTTTAGATGAAGTCCTGCTGGAGCAGGGCGGGCCCCCAGTCTAATATGACTGGTATCCTTGTAAGGGGACATTTGGACAGAGACAGTTGCAAAGGGATAGCACCATGTGAAGATAGGAGTGAAGCAGCCACAAGCCAGGGAGCGCCACGGCTGGACAGACACCCGAGGCAGGAGGAGGCCTGGACAGATCCTCCCCAGGGACCTCCAAGAGGAGCCAACCTCGCTGGCACCTTGTTCTGGGACTCCCAGCCCCAGAGTTGGGAGGCAATGCATTTCGGATGTTTATGAGCTCCAGCCCGCGGTGCTGCATTTCAGCAGCCACGGGAAATAAACATAGGCCCCTTGAATGCCCAGACCCATAAGGGAGGAAAAACTTACACGAAAGCATATTGTCACAACGTTTCAAGACACCAGTAATGAAGAGAACCTTCTAAAAGCTGCCAGAGAAAAAGCACATCAAACAAATAACCAAAGGAAAATGGCATTTTGACTTTTGGGTCCGCCTGGTTCCTGTGAGAAGCAGATGAGAAGACAGAACTGCACGTGCACGGATCCCACAGGGCAACGCGGCTGCCGGACAGGAATTGGAGGGGCCGGGAAAAGTTCTTGGGCCTCAGAGGAGGACACCCCAGTGATGGAGATGGGAGGAAGGATGGGGGAAAAGCCGTGGCCTGCGGCAGCCCAAGGTCATGAGGATCTTCATGCCTTCACGGCCATCAGAGGAGACGAGGGTCCTCCAAGAACGGCGCTGCCTTGGAACCCTGTCATGTGCCTCCCTGGCTGCACAGATGTGGCCACAGATTTCAGAGCGGTGCAGCTGGGACTCTGAGCCATTCCATGCTCCTGATAGCTGGAAATGCGAGGTGCAGATGGAAGTGTGGGGGCAGAAGGAGGCATGTGTGGGAGGATGAAGGCGCAGGTGGTGGGTGGAGGAGCAGGTGTGGGGGTGGAGGCATTGGGGGACATTCTCATGGCTCCACACCTTTTCAAGCACAAGCTAGAAGGTCACATTCCATGACAAGCCTTTGGAATTTAGAAGGAACATGACTTCCCACCAGGAATCCCATACCCAGTAAATCATCAATCAAGTATGCAAGTGGAATAAAGATATTTATAATTTTATAAGGTCTCAAAAAGTGTCTTCACCGTGGTGTGGTGGTGCGTGCCTGTAGTCCCAGCTACTCAGGAGGCTGGGGCAGGAGGATTGCTTGAGCCCAGGAATTTGAGTCCAGCCTGGGCAACATAGTGAAACCTGCCTCAAAAAAACCCACAAAACTTCAAAACACCCTTTTTTTGAAGCTCCTGGATATTATGTTCCATTTAAAGAGAGGAGTAAACAAGAAGGGAGGCATGGAATCCAGGACGTGGGGGAGCTGATAGGGAAGTGCCTGGTTCAGCTAATCAGGTGGTGCTTTACCACGCTGAGCGGGAGGTTGAGCTCTGCCCAAAAAGCTGGCTATGAATTTAAGGTGGGTGTAGAAAATTATGTGAAAGAGGAAAAAAGTCAGTTGACTCCAGGATATACAAAATTCGTACAAGAAAGGAAATACAATCAAGTGCAGGGGCTTGGCGGTGAGAGGCAGCTTCACAGTAAGAATGTCAACGCTAGACACGGATTTAACAAAAACGACCACATGCCCAGGCTTGAGGCACGCACAGCGGGCATGAGAATATGTGTACGCAACAGTGCATGTGTGTGCAGCTTCGTGTGTGTGTAGCTCTGTGTGTGTGTACATTTCGGTGTGTGTGTGTGCGCAGCTGTGTGCGTGTGTGCAGCTCTGTGTGTGTGTGCAACTTGGGGTGTGTGTGTGCAACTCGGGGTGTGTATGTGTGCAGCTCTGTGTGTGTGTGCAACTTGGGGTGTGTGTGTGCAACTCGGGGTGTGTATGTGTGCAGCTCTGTGTGTGTGCAACTCGGGGTGTGTGTGTGCAACTCGGGGTGTGTGTGTGCAGCTCTGTGTGTGTGTGCAACTTGGAGTGTGTGTGTGTGCAGCTGTGTGTGTATGCATGTGTGCAGCTCTGTGTGTGTGCGTCGGGGGCAGTTACTAAGCTAACTCCTCATCCTAAATAGGAAGTTCAGTGAGTGCAACATTGAAATGCTAAGAGATGGCAGTACATGGCTATTTGGAAATGTGGAACTCAGCAGGAAACAATTTGCAAAGCTGGAAGTGTTGCTTCTGGGGAGTGAGCCCTGCAGGTGCGGTGGGGGCCAGGTTTACATGTGCTGCTTTGGGAAACATTGAAAGGAAACCTGATATCCCCCAAAAGCACTGCAGTATGAACACACACACACAAACACACACATAAACATACACGCATAAACACACAAATACACACATAAACACACACATGTAAACACACATACACACAAACACACACATAAACATACATGAATAAACGCGTACACACATAAACACACATATACACATAAACACACACACAAACATACATAAACACACACATAAACACACACATATACACATACACACACATAAACACATACATGTACACGTAAACACACACACACACTCTCTCTCCCCTGTGTGTAGCCTGAAACGTCGAAGAATCGGCCAAGAGAAAAGGTGAGCCCCCTGGAGTGGAGGGTTGGCGGGCCGTGTTGCAGGAGGAGTCTGGCTGATCTGAAGTTCCTCGTTCCCGCCCTGGTCTGGGTGCTTGCAGTCATTTCTGAGGCATGTGCTTTTGACCAGAGCCCCAGGTACAGCTCGGATGTGCTCAGATTAACAGGGTCCATCAGACAGGAGGAGGTTTTTCTCCACGTGTGCTTCTGATAACACAGATAACACAGGATGAACCAAATGCATACAGCTTTTCTTATGATGAGAGGAAACAGGGAAAAACATTCACGATGCAAATGCAATATTGTTTATGATCCGTTGGAACATTATTTCCCTAGCGTGAGCCCTGTTAAACACAGCCTTACTGTGCCTCGGGCAAGGAGGCACATATGGCTCTAAACTCCTATTACAACTGAGAGCAGAATTGAGGTCTGATCCGATCATCGCCCTGCTGCTGGGGAAGTTTAATGATAGCTAGACATGCTTAGTGTCTAATCTGTTGTGTCAGAATTGTGGTTCCCAAGGTCACAAATGCTGCAGCATTGCAGCCTGCAGAATATGGCGTGTCACATGGCATGACAGATCATGAGAGCAGCTATGTTCCATCTAAGAAAGACCCTCTTATACCAGGCTTTGTTTTCAGTGGCTTTAGTTCAAGGACAATTGGTGCAATACTAGGGTTGGAAGTGGTCTTGTAGCTCACTGCATAATATCCCCTCACTTGGTGGAAAAGTGGAGTCCTGGGGTCGTTGTGACTTGCTTCACATCAGTCCGTTATTGATGTGTCAGACACACTTTTTACTGGCTGTCCACTGTGTGCCAGACTGGAAGTTATGTTCAGTGCCAAGGTCCAGGGAGAGTGGTGCCCAACCCAGCCCAGGGAGCCCCTCTATGGAGGGTTGGTGGGTGGGGGGTTCCGATACAGGCTGGAGGTGCTGAAGCAGGGCTCAGACTCACACGGAGGGGCACGACAGTGCTCTAGGAAGTCTTCCTGGAGGAGCTAATCTTGACTGAGTCTTGAAGGACTAGGAACTGCTGGGAAGGGTGGTTCAGCCTTTCAGACTGAGGCAGCCTGTGCGCAGAGGTGCAGTGCATGTATGGAGCTCTGAGCAAGGTGCCCAGAGGATGGTGCTGCTGTGCTGCAGCCAGGGGCCCCTCGTGCAGGGCTTTTTTGCCAATGCATAGGATAACCCTTGGGGTCCCTCTTCCACTGTCCTGATAAGTAGCATTCGGCTTCCTTCTTTCCATATGAATCTCCTTTAACCTCAAGGCAATGTGGGAACCCTTGGTGGAACTTAGCCTTTGGGTCTTTGGGTCACATTTGGGTTGGTTTTTAGCAGCATCACTGTGGAGAAAGTTCTGGAGAGTCTGGAGTGGGGAGAGGAGCCTGGAAGATGGGCCTGCAGTTGTTCAGAAGAGGGAGGAAGATGGGGGTGAAGAGGAGGTGAGTTGGGAGGTATTGAAAGATTCAGTGGTTGAATGGAGGGGTCGCGGAGGGTGTGGTATATGGTCACTCCCGAAGCTCTCCCGGGTTGCAGCTCCATGCCTGCCGCCCTCTCAGGCTGGGGCTGCTGGCTCTACTGTACTGGAGTCTCGTGGGCACTCCTGCCCTCAGAACCCCACTGGACATTGCCCTGGTGGGAACTCTCTGAGGTGGCCCCACCTCTGTGTCAGTTCTCTCCCTGGGTGCTGGGGCTCTCCAGGTCATCCTGTGAAATCTGGATGGAGGGAGCCATGTCCCCACAGCTCCTATGGAGAGGGCACTGCATAGATGCTGCCAGAGTTTACTGCTTGTGACTTCCAGAGGGGTGGGCTGAGCCGCACCTGGGCCTGCTTGAGCCACACCTGGGGTGGCCAAGGAACACTGCATTGGAGTGTGGGCAGCAGAGCCTTGAAATCATTCTATCCCCAAGGCCCTAGCACTCTGGGCCTGTGACAGGCAAAGCAGCCCTGAGAAGCTCAGAAGTTCTTGGGGTCACTCTTCCACTGTCTTGATGAGCAGCATCCAGCTTCCTTTTCTCCATACCAATCTCCTTATCAGTGGTTGTTTGGCTACACCCTTGATTTTTTCTCCTAAACATGCTTTTTTGCTCTGTACATGGCCAGGCTAATTTTCCAGATCTTTAGGTTCTCTTCCCTTTTGATTATAAACTTCATCTTTAATTCATTTCTCTCTTCTTTCATTTTACTATAAGCAGGTAAGAGAAGCCAGGCTGCACCTCCAACACTTTGCTTAGTTATTTCTTCTGCTGAATACCTTATTTCATTGTTCACAAATCCATCCTTCCACAAAGCACTAGGAATGAACACAATTCAGCCAAATTCTTTGCCACTTTATAGCAAAGATGGCCTTTCCTCCAGTTTCCAATAACACGTTCCTCACTTCCTTCTGAAACTGCACCAAAATGGCCTTTACTAACCGTATTCCTACCAACATTCTCATTCTGACCTCTTAACGATCTTGAGGAACATTGAGGTTTTCTCAGAGGCCCTCCTCCTCTTCTTCTGAGCTCATACCTGAATTGTCCTTAATGTTCTGTTCACAGCAATGTAGGCTTTTTCTAGCAGGCACCTCCAAACTCTTCCAGCCTCTACCCATTACCTAGCTGCAAAGCAGCTTTCACGTTTTTAGGTATTTGTTATAGCGATATCCCCACTCCTGGTACCAATTTCTTTCTTAGTCTCTTCAGGCTGCTATAACAACATACCTTAGATTGGGTAACTTAAAAACAATAGATAGTTAATGCTCACTATTCTAGAGACTGGGAAGTCCAAGATCAAGAACCACAAAGCTTCAGCATCTGGTGAGGGTTTTGGTTTCTCATAAAGAGCGTCTTCGATGTGCTCTCCCATGGTGGGAGGGGTGAATACGTTCTCTTGGGCCTCTTTCATAAGGGCACTAATTCCACCAGTGCTTTGCCCTCATGAGTAATCACCTCCCAAAGGCCCCACTTCTTAATACCATCACATTTGGGCTTAAGTTTCACCATGTGGATTTTGGGGGGATACAAACATTCAGACCCTCATAGTCACCTTCCCTGAAGTGCAGCCTTTTCTACACCTGTCCTCTGCAAGTGCCCATTTCCTGGCCTGTCCCTCCTTATGCCAAAAGGGGAAGATTGCTCCTTCGCCTTCTCAGTTGAATTCATTCTCCAGGGCTTTGCTATTCCATGGGCCCCCTTCAAGCCTGGCCGTCACCTGTGCAAATAGGGCATGGTGAGACCTCCCTGCACTCTTCTTGGCCAGCCCAGGCACCGAATTTGCCTGAGGACCACCTCAGGAAAAGGGGCTCACTTCTTGTCTGCACAAGGAAGGCAACATGGAACAGAAGGGAGGCCGCGGCGTTTCTCTGCACTTGCACAGATGTTGGCGTAGCTACTAGACACACAGGCCTTCACTCTTACACTCATTTATTTAAAGCGAGTGATTATTGTTGGTTATGCTCGGGGGGTAAAAGGGCCACGTGATCCTGCCCACGAGGTTTTCAATCTAAGTAAAAGAGACAAAACAATTCAATGAAAGAGAAATATATATCCCGGGAAATGAGCCGGTGGTTTAAACCTCAGAGGGGTGAGGTTATTGGCTTTTTCTCTTCTTATTCATTCTTTTTTGCCCGGAGGGCAAACTTTCAACACTACCTTTCCTCAAAAACTCCTTAAATGTGAGATGCCACGTTAATACAAATTTACGGTATCCATTTAAGATGGGATCTAGCAACGTCACGTGGAAAAGGCTGCCCAGCATTGAGACTGGTTTGGCCTGAGAATCTGAGGCTCTGGCCGCCCTGTCTTGGTGGATTTCAGGGGCCAGCTCTGAGGCTGCAGGTGGTTGTGGACTCTGGCCCCGTGCCGCTAGCATGTCCAGTACCCACTGCCGCCCTTGCTGTCTGTTGCTTCTGGGCAGTTGTGACTCCTGCCCTGGGAAGCTGAGGCATCAGATTCTTTGCTTTGGAATTTCAGACCCTCCCTCTGTGTTGCCTCCTCCCACCCACAGGTTGCATCAGAATGTCGGGCTCTGCAGGTGCCAGCACACTGGAACACACGCTTGGGTTGGCGGGTGGTTGGAGGAGAGTGAGCTGTGCTTTTTCATCCCCGCATCCCCAGCGCCCAGCATGGAGAAGGGATGTGATCAATATCTGTTGGAAATGGAACAAGCCTCGGGATAAACAGCCACATCCTGGGATGCACCAGACAGTGGTCATTGTTCTAAAGGCTCAGTGAGTGCAGTCAGGTTATCCTTACCTTGAAAGTTACTTACCCAGTACAGAAAAGCAGACTTTCCCCCAGTACAGAAAAGCAGACTTTCCTTCCTGCGCCCCCTCCCAGAACAATAGGCAGGTGCCCGGTAGTGCAGTTAGCAGAAGGCAGTTCTGCGGTTCCCCAGGAGCGACCCATCTCTCTCCCCAAGTTAGCAGTTTTATCCTCACCAGCTCCTGGACATCTGGCCAGAATGACGCCCAGGAATTTTCATCTTGCACAATATTCAGGTCAATTATTTGGGGTCATGGGCTCTAATATGCCTCCAGACAAGCTTGCTGGAGTCTTTCCTTGGGTGGACAACTTAGGCTGAATGAAAGAGGCCTTCATTTAGCCTGTTCCCTGTGACTACATGCACAGCAGAATGTGAGCAAGTACTACCCCAGGAAAACGTCCGCAGATGGCGGGTGTGGTCCTGGGCTCTTGTCTGGTGGATAGAGGACCCTGGCTTGTGTTTGTGTGTTGATCTCTGTGTTATGCAGTAGTTTTGGTACAGGATCCTAAGTACCCCTTGCACCACCCTGCAGTTGGAAAGCGTTGTTAATCCACTTACAGGTGAGCAAATGGAGGACTGTAGAGACTTAGTGACTTATCCTTGGCCGCACAGCCTACACGCGGGTGGAACTGAGTCTTGAATCTTGGTCTTCTAATGCCAGATATTTCTCCCCTCTGAAACCACATGCATAGAATAACCATGATGATGACTGTAAATGTCATCGCAATGTGCCTGGGCCTCTTTTGAAGGGGTGGAGACTATAGTTTTATATTCAGGAACTTGAGTACATGAGCAGTGCACTTGTTTGAGATGTTTATGAAACTTTCTCCATGCATGTGTTCCTGTTCTCGACCCTGAAAGGCAGCTGGTCCCAGTGGCTTTTACCAAGCAGGTGCAAGAGCCCCAGGGCCGCCTGGAGGAGTCATCTCCGTGGGAGTTTGGGTGTCTGAGGCTTTGCTGGGATGGGAGTGCAGACTGCAGGCCCCCCACCATCCTGGGAATCAGCCTTACCGTCTCTTCCTCTCTGTGCCACAGAGGATCAGGGCTTCCCCAGAGTTCCCAGCCCGACACATAACCTGATTCTGTTCTCCCAGGCTGCTCCTAAACATGCCTGGGACACAGGTGTCCCCTTGGGCTGCATCCTAAGCATCCCTGGGAGGAAGGCGCACTGGGCCTGGCTCTCTGCTTGGAACTTGGGAAAGGGAAAACGCAGAGAGCACAGGGTCCCTTCGCCCTCCACCACCTGCTCTGCTGCAGAGGTTGCAGCTCCACGTTGTGGAGCCTGGCAAAGTCATCGTGCGCCACCCAGCTCCACAAGTGTAGTTGAGAGTGGCAGTGGCTGGGGGCTCTCCACGGAGTCCCCAAACCAGGCCTTGTCATGGGACTGATGGGCGCCCCTTGGCCGCCACCTTACTTCCTGGCCCTGTTCTGCCCTGGCCTCCTCAATCTCTCTCCTCTTCAAACCACCTTTCAGTGGCCACCGCTCTTTCCTCCACCCACTTTTGCCATTCAGCAGAGGCCCTGCCATCCCCAGGCAAGCTCGGGGTGGGGGTCCCAGAGCCCAAGAGCCAGAGAGCCTGGAGTGTGATGTCCAGAGGCAGGAGAAGGGGCCCCAGCCCAGGAGGGAGCGGGACCAATACGCCTGTGCTCGGCCTTGTGTGCTATGGGCCCGCAGCGGCTGGGTGGCACCAGCCCAGGCTGGGGACTGAGCGTCCTTCCTCAGTCACTGATTCCAACGCCAGTCTCTCCTGGAAACGCCCTCCAGACACACCCAGACCTGAGGCCTCACCAGCTACCCAGGCCTGCCTTCCCCAGTCAAGTCATCACCTAAAGTTCACCTTCACATCGTGTTTTACAGATCGGGGAAACTGAGTCTCAGAAGGGCTAAGTCACGGACCCAGTTGATCTCTATCAGGAGCAGGCAGGCCTGCATGGCCAGGCGGCTGGGGCCAGGTGCTGCTTCTCCCTCCATCCTCATTGCAGGCAGTAGGTCAGAGGCGTTGGACCAGCCTCGTCGGGAACTGGGGCTCATGCTTGTCTTGCTGGCAAATGGGCTTGAGAGGAGGGATGTGAAGGGGACAGTCCAGCATTTTCCTCAGAGCTGGGTGCCTTGCCCGGCCCCACCAGGCCCTGGAGTCACTATCGGCAGACAGAAGGGACCATGGCTATTTAAACTCTACGCTCATCCCGGCCCAAACGATGCTGCACTGATGCTCAGGTAAAGGGTTGGTTAAGAAGGGGGACAGGCCACCCACAGTGCCACATGGTGTGGCTTGGACGCACCTGTCATTCTGAGGACCCTGCCCCTCCTCAGCCCTGCAGAGCCTCATCATGCTGCCCCAAGCAGAGGAAGCAGCGGCCAGAGTCCCTAAGGGGCTGTTCAGCGGCATCAGTGGATGCTGGGATGGGGTCTGTCTGGGCAGTATAGGGGTTCCCCTGGCCTTCCTGTGGTGTCTCAGCCTGGATCTGCCCAGGGGCTGAAGCTTGGAACGGCCACCAGGGTAGGTGCTCCACAGTGCTGGGCAGGACTGAGCCTGTCTCTGGGGAGGACCACAGACAACCAGGGGACAGCAAAAGCCTAAATGATTGGGCCAGCAGATGGGGAAGAGTCGGTGACACCAGTGCCTCCAGGTAGCGTCAGCTGTGCGACTCACTTGACGCAGGCCATGGACTTGGAGTGCCTGCCCAGGCTGACCCTGGTGAATTGCAGAGTTTTGTAGAATGCAAGCCCAGCCCAGCAGTTCACGCCTTCTTGCTAAGCTGCTCTGTACACTGAATGAGAGGGCTGGAGTCGCTCAGCTCCTTCCACATTTAGTCCCCTCTGATTTCCTGTGGCCACAGAATAAAACAATCTGTCAAAGTGTTTTTCTTCTCCTTTTTTCTGTTTTGTGCAACAGAAAAGCCCAGAGGAGAAATGAGGATGCAAAGAGAAAGAAAACAAAACCCCAAAAACCCCAACCAGAGAGCTGCAAGGATGCCAGGGAGAGGGAGTGTCTGGGACGGAGCGGAGCGCACTTTTCCGAACGCCTTTCTCCGGGCTGAGGCTGTTTTCTGCAAGCCCGCGCGGTGCACGTGAGGAGGCTTTTCCTGCGGTGGTGAAATCAAACACACCTAAGGCGTGAGTCCTCCAGACTCTCCTCACCTGGGCAGCTTGGCACCGGCCACCTGTGCCTTGCCCGGAGAAACTCCAAGTGTTCCTGACTTCAAGGGTTGGAGGTCTGTTTGCTCAGGGCTGGTTGATAAAATCGAACGGAGAATGAAAGCTAGAGCTTCTGAAACACATGAAGCAGGCGGAAAGCTTTAGACTCCCCTCTGGAAGGAGACGGCTCCCTGTCCGCAGGAGGAAGGTCTTTTTCTAAGCTCTGTCAGTAGCTCAAAATTAGGCCATGTTTTAGTCGGCTTCATGTTGGCACCACGGCTTTCGTATCAAACTGTTTGTTTTTCCTACAATTAAAAATACCTTTCTTTTCATTTGTTTGTAAATAGGAAATATATTCAAAAAAGGTACAAAATGTCTATAGCAAAAATTCATTTCCCTTTTTTGTTTCCACTTTGAAACTGCCACCCAGTGAGCATCAGACCCCACAGGTTTAACCCATTTATGCCTAGTGTTCCATTATTGGAACGCTAAGCTTGTGGGACTTACTTATAGCCTACTGCTCAAAGTCATTGTCAAGGTCTGATTTTTCACAAAAAAAACCCTTGTGACCTCTGGCGTAAATGGGTTAAGGGTAGGGTCCCAACAAGATGGCCCCTGCTTCAGATGCCACCCCCAAGTGGGGTCCCCAGGCCACCTGCACCTCTGACCAACTTGCTACAAATCCGGGGGCTCCCCTGATGACCTCAGGTTTTATAATTTACTGGAACACTCTCAGAGCCTACGAAAGTGTTGCACTTACAATCTTTTTTTTTTTTTTTAGACTGAATCTGACTGGGTGCTTTGTCGCCCAGACTAGAGTGCAGTGACACAATCTCGGCTCACTACAACCTTTGCCTGCTGGGTTCAAGCAATTCTCCCGCCTCAGCCTCCTGAGGAGCTGGAATCCCAGCATGATGACACCAGCCATCATGCCCAACTAATTTTTGTATTTTTGTAGAGACGGGGTTTCACTATGTTGGCCAGGTTGGTCTTGAATTCCTGACCTCAGATGATCCACCCGCCTCGGCCTCCCAAAATGCTGGGATTACAGGCATACGCCACTGTGCCTGGCCACAATCCCATTTTCTTTCTTTTTTTTTTGAGATGGAGTCTCGCTCTGTTGCCCAGGCTGGAGTGCAGTGGCCGGATCTCAGCTCACTGCAAGCTCCGCCTCCCGGGTTTTATGCCATTCTCCTGCCTCAGCCTCCCAAGTAGCTGGGAATACAGGTGCCCGCCACCTCGCCCGGCTAGTTTTTTTGTATTTTTTAGTAGAGACGGGGTTTCACCATGTTAACCAGGATGGTCTCGATCTCCTGACCTCGTGATCTGCGCTCAGCCTCCCAAAGTGCTGGGATTACAGGCTTGAGCCACCGCGCCCGCCACAATCCCATTTTCATAATAAAGAACACACATCAGGCCAGCCAAATAAAGAGACACGTGGGGCGAGGGCTGGTCGGGTCCCGAATGCAGAGCTTCCATGTCCTGCCCTGTGGATCAGCACACGTCATCTTCCAGGCACACGGAGCCTTCCACGGAGCCCCACCGTCAGAGCTTTTATTGGCATCTCATTCCATAAACACGATTGCTTGAGTGATCGGCCACGCTGGGGAAAACTCAGTCTCCAGCTCCTCCACCGCCTCCCAGAGGTGAGCAGGTTGGGCTGACAGCCCTGCGCCCAAAGTCTTAGCCCTCTAATCACATGATTGGGTTTGCTAGTGGCCACCTCCCATCCTGCAGGTATCCAGGGGCCACGCTGGCTCACCTCATCAGTACAAGCTACCAGGGCCCACCATGAGTCACGTGAACAATGAAGACAGTTTAACCACTTGGGAAGTTCCCAGGACTTAGAGTCTCCCACCCAGGAACCAGGGACAAAGGCCAGATTTTGTATTATCCAAGGGCCCTCAGCCACTAGGTTTTCTACCCAGAGGAGACTGATCTTGGTATCCTTCTAGAAATATTTTATTTTACTCAAAGAGTAGCATATTACATTACAGACGCTCCTCATCTTCGGATGACATCACATCCCAGTAAACCCATCGTAAGTCGGAAGTATTTTAAGTCAAAATGCATTTAATACACCCAACCAAGGGAACATCGCAGCGTAGCCTCGCCTACCTTAACCATGCTCAGAATACTCGCATCAGCCCACAGCTGGCAGCATCACTGGGCAGCACAGCCCACTGCAGAGGGCAGGTGGCTTACCCTCATGGTCTCAGGGCTGACTGGGGGCTGTGGCTGGCCCTGCCCAGGTTTGAGAGAGTTCGTGATGCATATCCTAGCCTGGGAAAGATCAAATCTCAAAATTTGAAGTATGGTTTCTATAGACTGCATGTCACTTTCACATCCTTATAAAGTCAAAAAATTACAAGTCAAACCATCACAAGTCAAGGACCTGCTATATACACACTGCTTGGAATCTTTTTTTTTTTTAAACTTAAAAATATGTTTTGGAGATTATACCATAGCATTCCATAAAGAAATTTCCCTTTCTTTTCCCTGACACGGTAGTTCATTGCACCATACTTTAAACACGTTTCCTACTGAAAGCAGATTTTTTTTTTTTTTTTAAATCTCTGGCTGTTTCAAACAATGCTGCAATGAGTAACTTCAGACACGAACCACTGTGCACCTGTGCGAGTGTATGTGTGGAGTGAATTCCTGCAGGAGGAATCACTGGGTCACCCAGGATGCCTGCTTAGAATTTAAATGATTATTTGACTATTACCAGATAATCCTCACTGGAGGCGGTACCCACTTACACTCCCACAAGTGATATGAGACTGATGTTTCATCAGACCACTACCAACTCCTTGTGTTATCAAATTCTTTTTTTTTTTTTTTTTTTGCCCAGACACACATGTGTATGTCTCCGCCTGACTGTTTGTTGCTTCCCTCTTGGTCCGTAAGAGAACGCTTCCCAGATGCCTCTTTCACACCCCACTCAGCCCTCAGGCCCAGTTTTGTTGTCGCGTGCGCTCCTAGGCTGTGCTTTAGTTTAGTTGCTTGTCGTTGTAAACTATGGGACAGGATCCAGGCTGGGAATAGGTTGTTTCATTACCCAGCCAAGAAGAAAGTGTGGAGAAGTTGAGATGGGCAACGAACCTGCTGTTTAACATCAACGGTGACACATTGGAGTCCAGTATTGCCAGTTGGCACAGATGATATGTGACATGGAATGAGGTAACAGGGTTCATCAGGATGAGAGAGGAGAAGGAATCCACGGACCACCAGAGAGGGAGGAGCAGAATGAGGTCGCGAGGTAGATAGGGAATGGACCAGCAGGCTGGGAGGGACCAAGTTTGTAAGGGGTGGATAGCCAAATAACAGGCTAAGGACCTGGCGAGATGATGGCTCATTTCACCACCCCCAGGGTTTCCACAACACCACCACAGCCTGGACCTTGGGATGAAGATGAATGAAGAACATGGACTCGATTTGGGATGTGGTTTACTTACGGCCCACGCCTCGGTGTCCCTGAATAAGGCAATGAAAGATTCGAGCCTACTTGAGATGGCTGGTGTT